TGTCCTTGATTACTTTTGAGTCTTTTTCCTAGGCCACAGTAATGATGGATTGGAATCCATCATTCAATATTAAGATAAATGTTATTAATATTGACAAATTAGTATGTTCTAGGCAGTGTTCTAAGTGTTTATTATCTTAATCTTCACAACCCAGAGGCAGGTACTATCGTCTCGTTTTCATTGAAGCAACCAAGACATGGAAAGATTAATTAAAACCACAAGTTAAGTCTGAGTCCAGAGCCTGTGCCTTCCCTGCAATGCTATGCTGGCCTAACCTACAACCCTAATTAACAGATTCCTTTTAAAAATAGCTCCTGTTTGTCAGAATTGAAGCATGTCTCGCCCTTTTCTGCACAATTACAATAAAGTTTACCCAAGTCAGGTTGAAGAGATCTAAATAGTTTCTAAAATAAAATTTTAACTTTTAAAATTAATAAAATTAAAAAATTTTTGCTACCTCTTTTGGGTCCTCTATTTCAAAATGTTACATAAGCCAATGGGCAGCATTCTCTGGCAATTTGTATCGTTCAATGAGTTTTCCTCTTGTAGAGTGCAATTTATTATTATCTGTGATTTTCCTGATATGAGGCAAATTAGGTGAAACTTAAATATCTTCTGCATCTTTTCATATATCAAACAGAAACACATTATCTCCCTACCTCCCCTAACACACACTCAGTAGTTTTTAATATGTGAAACAATGCATTTTATCTCCTGGAAACGTCTCACACCCACCCCCACTCCTAGATTCTTTTCTTTCTAACATATTTCAAACATAATAACAGTTTAGCACCTTTTCATTATATAGTATTTGTAAAGCCAGTATATATATGGAAAAGAAAACTAAAAACAAAATGTTTACAGTATAATTTAACATTAATGAGAAGAAAGAGAAAGCTACATAATATGGCTGAAAGAACACTGGAGTAGAACTAATAGGATGGGATTTTGATACATGTTATAGCAATACTTTATCTGTGACAATTCTGTCAAGTAATACAATAAATAAGATTAAAAGAAAAACGTACATAAAATATGGAAGTAAAAAGGCATGACAAAAAATTAACATGAAATTGGATTTTAAGAAATTTTAATGCTAAAATTTCTCTCCATCTGCAAAAGATGCCTTGAAGACAATTCCATTCCCCAAATGACGCCAATAGGCAGCAGATGGTGTACTGTTAACTAATGACAGAGAACTGCTAAGTCCTATATTGCCTTCATCCTTAGTTATGCAACCTACACAGACTCAGCAATCTTAAAACAGAAAAAAAGATGTGGAAAATGATTAATATGAATTATATCCATTTAAAAAGATGATTTCTAGTTGCTTTAAATGAATCCAGGCACCATAAATATATCCTAGAGTACTGAAAGAATATGATGAACTCTAACTCATGACCTTGGGCAGTAAATCTTTGAGTCAGGATGATTTGGTTGAAGCACCAGATGATGCAAGCTTCACAAGGACAAGAACTTGCTAATGTTGTTCCCTGGTATATCCACCACAGTACTTGGCATGTATTAACAGCCTGACAAATGTCCCTGACAAAATTCCAAAATCTATTTTTTAAAGTCTGTGAGCACACAGAAAAGGAAGCAGTGATCACCAGGAGGCAGCATCGATTCACAAAGACTAAGCCCAAATCACATAATTTTCCACTATAGTCAGGAATAAATATGACACCAAAGCAGCATTTGACTAAATTCACACGAATAACCTCTGTAAACAGGACGGAGCATAAAAACTAGGCATCTTGCAATTAAATGAATTTGTAGCTGGTTGAATGAGAGCTCTACACTCTTTAATGGATCAGTATGAAGCTTGAACAAGATAGCTTTGCCTCGTCAACTTTTTTTTCAGTCTTATATGTAAACAGAAAGCAATTTTATCAAACTTGCTCATGACTTAAAAACTGAGAATAAGAGCCCAAGTGTACAAATAAAACCAAAATAAGTAAAATGAAATTAAAATGATTATAAGTAAGTCTATTAAATGAGGTAATAACTACACAAGTTCCGAATGGAAAGGTTTCCTGTTTACATGTGAAAGACTTTTGAGTTTTCACCTTCAAAATCATTAGAGTATATGATTGCCACAAAAGCAAATTTAACTTTACTGTGTATTTGTCAAGATAGTGTAAACTTATACATACCTTCCATATAACCTGAATTCTTCATAATTTATATATTCTAGTCTTTTGTAGAGCTATAGTAGCCAGTGGGGCAAAAACTAAGGTGATAAGACCCACATTTTTAACTCTTACTACACATTGGTCACTGGTTACCTAGAATAGCTGTTTACTGTTACATCCTAGAAAACATACCGAATGTTTTAAATGCAGTCTAATTTTACTTGTCCAGAACCCAGGAAGATGGGTGTTATTATCCCTATCTTAAAGAAAAAGATTCTGTAAGGTAATTAGAGATCCATCCAACCACATGACAAGTGCTAGGTCCTTTCATAATTCCAACACACTTTTGTTGTTGTTGTTGTTGTTTAGGGACTATTACATTTTGACTTGTTAAAGATCTACTGATCCACAATCAATAAGAGTAGGGCCCAAGAATATTTTTAAAGCAACTCAGTAACACAGCGAAAATGGCCCACAGCGCAGTTTTGGGAATTACCTTAGACTATCTAAGTATTTCTCAGTCAGGCTTCTGACAGAAGCTTGATAGCAGAGATTTTGAGATAGTACTTTCTAGTGACAGGCAGTATTGTATAAGGAATATAAAGCCAGAGTCAAATTAGAGCCTTGTTAGTAGTGCTACCTCTTGTTATGCACTTAACCCTGCTGAACCTCCACTTTCCCATACATAAAATGAGCACTGTTGTAATAAGCACCTGGCACATATGTACTCAATAAATGCTACCTACTAATTTCCAAGGTGAAGCCCAGAATATACTATATTGCCAGTTAAGGGTTGTTTTATAACTCTGGCTACTAGACAAGCAGATTCACATACCATTATGAAGGGCCTGTTCACTTTCTCATCCACATGGTCAATATTGTTACACACCTGAGAAAAATGGTAACATCACATATTCGCAATAAATAATACTTAAAAGTTGTTCTTATCATACTTACATCTCACATTATTTGCCTAAAAGTTCAGAATGACTTTATAAAGACATTAAACAGGATAAAGCAAATATTAATAAAAGCTTATCTTTAGTATCTCTTGTTCTTCTGGGATCAAGATTTGTAATATATAAGCCAAGTGTCAGCAGATGAGGCCATTTATAAAGTGCTTTAGCCTAAAACCAATGTTATTTTAAACTATTATTTTAGACAGTATCCCTTCAGTTAAAAGTTAAGTCCTTTTTTGAAGTTCATTGCTCTTTTCAAACAACGTTAATGAAAATATCTTGCCAAGAAACATTTATTTCTTTATTACTAAGTTGGGTCTAGATCATGCCTGAGTCACAAAGCACAGAGGTAATTACAGGTTAAAATTTATTTGAGCCTCTTTATAAAAAAGAATCTAGTTATAGTATAAGTCTCATTAATGAATATAAAAAGCTCAACACTGCATATTAATCATGTCATCACTCATGGCTGTGGTTCCCTTACAAGTCTAATGCAAAAAGAAACCCAATTTGAATTGGTTGTGAGCATAAAAAGTCTACCATGTGCATCCAGGAACAAAGAATTGCACACACTATTTCGTATTATTACCATTCACTTCCCCCATAAACCATCATTAGAAACACACAAAATGATTCATATTTAGGGAATGCTTTTTTCAACACCAAGTAAATACACCTCTATAAGGTGTTTCAGATTTCAAAAAGAGGATATTAGAAACCCATTACTGTGAGGGTGAAGGCTATGGTTTGTGTTTGTGATAATTTGTGTTGATACAAGTATACTTCACAATTTTGTGGAAAAATAGAATCAAAATACAAATCTTTCCATGAACTTTTCAAAGTACCCTTGTATGTCAAGTATTTGGGGAAAATATCTGATTCTGGACTTCATTTGTATTGTTAGAATGCATTTTTAAAAATGTATTTTTCTAGCAATTGAATGATCTGTATTCTTTGATTTTTGGAACTAGTTTACTAATTTAAAATGGCACTATTTATTAATATAGAATATTTGGTTAACAGTCCCTAATTAAACTTGCCTAAGTTTGCCTTACCTACTGAATCATTTTCATTTTATTACTAAATTGGTTATAAAACCTTATTCTACAAAAGCCAAATATTTATAAATAGCCAATACTAGCTAACCTCCCTCTAATTTTCCCAGACAGCACTGAACATCAACCAAGTTATTCTAGGTAACCAATGAAGAAAACTGCCTCAGCATTTCTTTCCTTATAAGGCTTGTTTCTATAAGAGTGAAGATATTTTCCTCTGGAAAATGTTTTATTTGTGAACCAAGAAACAATCATGTCTAATAAGTAAAGTTAAAAATATTAAAAAATATTAACGAAACCCATCTCTAAACTCTGAAAGAATCCATTTCAGAAGACCTTTTCAGAATTTATAAAAATTGGCCATCATCTCTTCTTATTGAATTTATATTTATTTTAACCCAAGGGTCAGCAAACTGGCTTTCAGGCCAAATCCAGCCTGCCACCTGTTTTTGTAAGTAAAGTTTTACTGGAAGATGCCATTACTATTCATTTATGTATAGCCAGTGGCTGTTTTTGAGCTACAAAAGCAACGTTGAGTAGCTGTGACGGAAACTATTTGGCCTTTAGAGCCTGAAATATCTACAATCCGGGTATTTCCAGAAAACGTTTGCCAACCCCTATTTTATGAACTTTTGTTTGAAAAAAAAATTACATTTTCTTCTCATCACAAAGATACACACTATGGCCTACACATGAGTTGAGGAGAATTTCTATTGACTAGCCTGGATTATCTCAACACTACTTACATTTGTTTCTATGGATTCTTTAAAAAGCCAAGTTTACTTCTTCTGAAATCAGGTTATGGAACCAATGAATCATGGAAAGTTGCTGACAATAATACCAAGCACTGCTTCAATACAAATTTAAGGTTTATTTACATACATTTATAAACAATAAAAACTCCTTTAATATTAGAAATTCCCCAATACTTAAAAATTAAAAGCTTCAATGGCTTTTAAGACTACATGGAATCAATTTTTTCAGATAACATACTGTTCATAGAATTCAATTATTAATATATTCATATTACTTTCACATCTAACCTAGTTGGCATCCAAAGATTTTACCAATCTTCCCCATCAATTCTACTTTTTCTAGTCATCCTTAATATCCAAGTCCCAATTTTTGGTCTATCTATTAAAACTTTATTAGCATTTTTCCTTTTTTCAACCAAACATATTTTTACCCACACCTCTAAATGCAAGGGAACAACTTACAAAAGCACTGGCAAACCACCACCAGTGCAGGATACTAAATGCCAATGGATCAGATAACTACAAAAGACAATATTTACCTTCCTGTGACTTCCTTAAAAGTCAGGGGAAAAATCACATATATCCTGCATCACTGATGGTACTTGTATACTTGATTCATATAGCATATGAATTTCTCTTTTCAACTAGTTTTCCATAAATATTGAAATATCAGAAAGTAGTAATTTTTTCTAAAGGTTTTCTAAATGATCATTAGATTTTCACACTATTTAATAGAAAATAAAACCCAGCTAGCAAACTTATGATTTAGGCAAAAAAACAAAAAAAAAGTTCTCTCAATAAAATGTAGAAATATTTTAATTTACATATTACAATAAATCAACATGTCAAACTCCACAATTACATATTCATAAAAATTCCACACATTGTCCTCAGAATAATCAGTTTCTGTACAAAGATTTACAGATATCCAGTGTATGTAAGTTTGTCCTCAGTGTGCTACAGAGTTTAGAGGTTCTGCTCGAATATTCCCCAAATCAAGCGCAGAATCTGTTTCTTCATCAATTTCTCCAATGACTGCACTATAATTAATTTATGGAGAAAAAAAGTCAGTGTTAAAACAATCACCCTTCTGAAATAAATATGAATGTTTCAAAAAATATTATCAATCAAATCAAAGCACTTAGCACCATTCTTCCAAAACATGTAAAACTGAGGACATAGTAAAAAGAAACTACTTAAGGTAAAAAGCAAACATTTTCATGAGTCAGTGAATTGCACATTTAAGCCACAAAACTCAAGACAAAATAATTTGAAGGTAACATTATTACAGTAACTAATATTAAAGGACAGATAGCATATAGTGATTGGATCATAAGTCTTTAAAGGAAAAAGATGAATGGGATAAATATGGTACAAAATCCCAAAACTTCTTTTTTTTTTTTTTGTGACCAGTAAGGGTATCGTAACCCTTGGCTTGGTGTTGCCCACAACACGCTCAGCCAGTGAGCGCACCGGCCATCCCTATACAGGATCCAAACCCACGGCCTCAGCGCTCCCAGCGCCTCACTCTCCTGAGTGAGCCATGGGGTCGGCCCAAAATCCCCAAACTGCTAATCCTATGATCCTAATTCAATTCTGGGACTGTACTTAAAAAAAAAAAAAAAAATTATTCCTAAAATAAAAAGCAAATAAAAGTATCAACTATTTGAGCAATTTTGATGAACTAGATCTATAGATGATATATATTAGTTTCATTTTTATGATTTTTCAGTTTCAAAAATTTAAATCCAAGACCAAAAAGTACAGTTCTTCACATACAAAGATAACAGCAGCAACAGGTACTCTGGTATCTAACAAATGATTTTTCATGTGATTGGCTAGGGTTAAAGCCAGGAAATTTTTCCTTGATTCAGGATTAACATAACATCTGTAACATTAATTTCATTAATACCATGCTAAGTAACCAGCCCTTGGCCCTCTAACTGAATATAATCAATGTTGTCATCCAAACCACAGGATGTATACAAAATACTCCATAAAAAAATTTGTTATTCGTTGGGTTTAAATATTTGGTTTTAATGAGAGTAAATCCTAAAGAAGCATGCTTATAATACAGAATTTGCCCAGTTTTGAATTAAACTATATAAAGCCTTCAGTTCTCTAATAAATAAAAAGTACCAAACTCTGACAGAATATAATAAAGTGTTCTCAAAATAAAATTGAAGAATTCAATTCCACTCTTAAATATTCAGTATCATTTAAAATCCTTACGGTAGGGAGTGGAGTGCCAGTAAATGTTTAAAAACCAGCTCTATGGAGAAAAAGGGGGAGGGTGATTTGCAGCATTTACTGATGTCAATCCTGCAAATACTCCTACCATGGCTAATTTCAAGCTACTAAACAAGACATCATATCAACTGGCTTGCAAAATTCCTGAAAATATAACAATCTGCTTTCATGAGCCAGTACAGACTGGCTCCATCACATCACTGGGTCTAGGGCAAAGGTTCACTTTTTTTTTTTTTTTTTTAACTAAAATTCCAGAAAATCTTTTGTTGGCTTTTTAAAAGATTAAAGTAGGAGAAACCTTTTTAAAATCAATTTTTGGGGCCGGCCCGGTGGCGCACTGCTACAGTGCGCCGCTTGGGAGCGCAGCAGCGCTCCCGCCCGAGGGTTCGGATCCCACATACAGACCGGCAGCTCACTGGCTGAGCGAGGTGCGGGCGCAACACCGAGGGTTGCGATCCTGTTGCCGGTCCTGGTCCGGTACGGGCGCGACACTGAGGGTTGCGATCCGTTGCCGGTCACGAAAAAAGACAAAAAAAAAAAAGGAAAAAAAAAAATCAATTTTTATGCAAAGCCCCAATATAAACAATTAGTGCTGTTGTGGTCAAGGGACCTGGGCCCTGTCTGCTTTGGCCCCCTCTCATTTTTTACAGCTCATCTTATAACTTCACCTAAAAGTCATCGCTATAGAATATTTTATAAACCCCTAATTTTGATTGAATATCAAATAATTTATTCATCTAACGGTGATTCCCTTAAGATAAACAACTTGAATGAATAAAGTATTCCTTCATCTTTTATATCTTACCTGTCCCCCCCAAACCTAAAATTGCTAATGCATCTTTTTTCTGCCTTCTAGCCATATTCTGATTTCATATAGTACTCACTAGAAAACTGATAAAACATTCTTCTAGCCCATAACTGCACTAATACTAGCCACGTCACTATTAAAATTACAATGAAATAAAATTTAAAATTCAGTTCCTCAGTCACACCAGCAACTTACAAATACTCAAAAGCCAAATATGGCTAGTAGCTACCATACTGGAAAATGCAGATATACATCACTTCCATCATCACAAAAAGTTCTTTTGGAAGAACACTGCTCTATACTGTTGCAGGCTTTTCTTAAATTGCTACCACCAAATATTCTCAAACTGGTATATCAGTGTATCCCAAGTTAACTGAGGCCACAGTATGAACATGGGACATCTTAAGTGTGTCAATTATACTAAAAAATTAAAAGAAAATATATAACAGATAAAGTCCTTATTTACAAATACACCTCTATTATAGAGCATGAATTATTTTAATTGTTTAAATGAGATTTCAAAGACACTTCTCAAACTCTAGTCTTGGACCCTAGGAATACATTTACGTTCCTCTAAAATTCAGGCATTTGGAAGAACATTTTAAGAAGTCTCTCTAATGAAGTATTAGGTGTTAAGGCAGGGCTCTTTCTGGACCCTACCCATGCCACTTAACAATTAAAAATATGAATAGATTGCAGTAGGTAAAAGTTTAATTTGTAAGGAGATGGCTTTGATTGGCTACTGAAGAATGTAAAAATAAAATGTATAGACTTGCCTTACTTTAAGCAAATGTAAGAAAAGTCACACTTACAAAACAAGTAAATGCATGATTCTATTAACCATGTATGGATGATATAGTATGATATTGGGAAAACTTCTTCTTTATAAAGCATTCATTATATACCTATTGTATAATCTTAACCTGCCTTAAAAGGACATGTTTTACTTACACATTGTCACCTCTTACGATGTATAGCCCTAGTACCACTTGTTCTACTCCTTGTGAAGAGCTGAACACTCGTTCATGGCTTTCATCCAAAATCAAATTAATGGTCTGGTCAAAACCTTTCAGTGTTCCCTGTAAAGAAAACATCCAGGAGAAAAAGAGAAATATTCTAGTTTACCTGAATGTGTAAATTCAACCTTACAACCATTTTACCTGTCAAGTACTCTGACAGAAGTACCTATTTTAAATATAAGACCACTGGCAAATAAAATGCCTTCTTTATAATCAACACTATTCCATGACACAAAACTTACCTCTTGGTTGTTTAAGAGGGGGGAAAAAACCGCACCACACATCTGATTAGTGTTCGGAGATACTGAAAGTTACCAAGGACACCTATGTACCAGTGTGAATATTTCCAAGTAGAACAAAAGCTCGTGTAGTCCAGGAGCTAACATTATAAGGAAACAAACTAAAACAAGGGAGATTTAAGGGAAAATGATACATAAATATATATATAAATAAGGGGAAACCATATAGGCCAGCAATAGCAATGTAACAGTATCACTACATGCCACATGCTAGCACTAGGCACTGTGCTAAACACACTGCACACATTATGTCAACTATCTCTACCCTTTGAGGTAATCCTATAAATATCCCCATTTCAAAGAAGAAAAACTGAGGTACAGAGAGGTATTTGTCAAAGTCTCATGGCAAGTAAGGAGCAGAGCCAGAATCTGAACCACTAAAGGCCAGCTCCAGAACCAGACAACAGCACTACATTATAGTATCATAAATAAGTAAATAAAATTTGCCATTTTTCAGAGATTCAAATTAGTCCCATAAATATATAAAAACTTCAACTAGTAGTTACAGCTAACACTTAGTGAGCACTTACTAGTAGCCAGTGTTCTACATGTCTCACATATTTATTATTAAATTCTCCCAATAACCCAGTAAGGTAGATACAAATATGGCTAATAATTAGAACCAGAACTTGAAAGAGGCTTGGTTTTGAATAAAGGAAGACATGGGCCTAACATGGCACAGTAACTCAGATGCTATTTAAGTTTCTGAAGAAACATCAACTTATCTTGGTTTTGGTTTGTTAAATCTCTCAACCTCACTGCTGAATTGTTTCATGTTCTAAAAATCAAAGTATATAAAATTAGCATGAAATACAGAAAATCTAGAATCTAGAATTTGAAAGAGAAACAACATATGTAATATTCACTATATTTAGTTAGCAAATTGTTGTTACCATAAACACCCACACATAACTTCTTGGCTTCATTTTACACATAACTATTCCATAGAGTGAACTATGTGTCAAAGAAATACAGAATTATTTAACTTTAGTAGTAAAATGCTCTTTTTATATAGTTTTCTTTCTTCTGTAAAATTAAAAATAATTTTCCAATATACTATCTACCCTGTCAACAAAAATAGAAAATTAAAAATTGAGGTTTTCACAAAATAAAAATTTGCAAATATCTACTGATAGCAATAGCTTCTTGAAACATTGAGATTAAAATACAGATGCTCCTCTACTTACAACAGGGTAACACACTGATGAACCCATCTTAAATTGAAAATGTAAGTCAAAATGCACTTAACATGCCTAACCTACCGAACATCATAGCTTAGCCTAGCCTACCTTAAATATGCTCAGAGCATTTACATTAGCCTACAGTTGGGCAAAATCATCTAACACAAAGCCTATTTTATAAGAAAGCATTGGGTATTTCATGCAATTATTGAATACTGTCCTGAAAGTGAAAAACAGAATGGTTGTATGGGTACTCAAAGTATTGCTTTTACACCATGGAAGTTAGGGACCATCTGTGTTTCAAACAGCCCATATTTGACAAAATACAATGTGAGGTGCCTAAAAAAACCCATGAATGCTTCTTTGATTAAAGAAGGAAGAAAGGCAACTGCTCTTGGCTTTAAAGTCAAACTCAATTTAAACCTGTTTGGTTCTGCCACTTATCCTTGTAACTCTGGCAAAGTGACCCTGAGGTTGGTTCCAAACCTAGAATACACAGGTAATTCTGCTTCACAAGGTGTACTGAAGATTAAATAATGTAATATATAAAGTGTCTGGTACATGATATACATTTAATAAATGGCAAAGTCTAGCAATTTGACTAGTAATAGTCGCTAAGTACCCAATGAGAAAAATCACTTGAACTGAAAAGAAACAAAAACAAAACTGCAGAATGGGAAAATAAAGGATTAAACTATTTCAAGTAATTAAGTAAGTTTAGAAAATAGAGTAAGTTTAGTATCCTTATAACTTTTCTGAAAGCAATCAATGTATAAATTATAAATAAATAACTAAGTAGTCCAAAAATCATAGGATAAATTCTTCAGATCAAATTCCAAATACAAGTATCAGCCATAGGAATGTTTTGCCTTTGCTATATGAGATAAAATAGCAACTGAGAAATTCCTTCAAGGAACAGGCCAAGGATATATATAAATTTAGAGTCTATCATCATAATTTGTCCTCCAGAAGACAGAGGTCATACAGCCTAAGAATATACAAACATTAAGACCATTGAAGCCTTAAATATTCATGTATTTCTAGTAACTAAATCATAAAAAAGTTCCGAGTAAGCACACGGACTTCAAAAAATTATATGATTTGTGTGGCAAATGTCAGAGCATTGAATGGAGAAGTAAATAAAAATAGAAAAGGAAGATAAATTTAAGACACAGATCTGCAGACTAGACTAGGAGCTCTCTGACAGTAAAGTCCATTATCTTAGCTCTGAGAGGCCCTGCAGATAAGACACTCAATGTTTATTAGTGAAGAAAATATGGATTGGCAAAGAGATAAAAGGTAAGAGCTGAATCATAAGAAAACTGCAATACAGGCGTAGTGTGGTGCTTAAGTATTAGAGATCAGAGGTTCTACATAAAAATTTACAACCAATAAGCCTACAAGAAAGCAGATAAAATGCCAAAGACTTACCACTATCATTCTCCCATCAGAAGTAATAACAGCAACAGTTCCTGATAACTGAATCAAGGAAAACATTTCACAGGAAATGCAAACTGAAAACTTAGACTCTGGTAACGGAATAGATTAGACTACTAGAAAAAAGGTGACAGAACTAAGATACACTATTCAACATAGCAGCTACCTTCATAACATAAAACTTTAAAAGTTTCTAACTTCTTTAATTGTCTTTCTGATAATTACAGAACCAAAAGAAAAACAAAAACCTCTTTCTGTATTTGATCAGTGTATCCTGTCTTGAAAGTTTTAAAATGAAAGAAGTAGTGGACTAACGGGTACAAAACTATGCTATCTATCCTAAGAGAATTACTGTGCAGTATATACATGTATTGAAATAATACTGTACCCCACAAATATGTACAAATGTTAAAAAAACAAAAAAAAGGAAAATTGTATAAGTGCTAAATTCATCAATGTTGGATGATTTCAGGCATGTTAAGACATCCCATCTTCCAGGACCTGCTTCTGGTATTCATTCAAAAGAAACTATAATCAGTGTCACAAGGTAATAACAATGCTTGTATCAATAAAAGCCTTTAGAAGTATTTAGCTTTTGTCCCAATTTGTACAGGAGCACAATGCAGTGTTTCTGTCCTGAGATTTAAAACAGTAACACTTGCTAAGGGTATTTTACCTCACATGGGTTTTTTAAAAAGTTCCTTGACTCTCAAGAACAGCCAACATTATTTTCATCCTACCGATAAGTTGAGACTTCAAATGACAAAGGGGCAGAAACCTAATTTGTGGATCACCTTTAAACCTTTTGCTATCCTCGAACAGTCAGTAACGCCTGTGAATAAGTACACAGATTTACAAAACCATCCTCCCCGACAGAACAACCGTTCGTCTTATTCCCAAACTTGAACATACGCGCCCTAAGGAAATAGTAAGGATGAATCAATAGGGTGTTTTTATGGAGGCGGAGAAAAGTTCGCAATTACATTGGGTTTTTGTTTGTTTTTTAGAGTAAAAGACTTCCTGGGCCCGCAGGAGCGGCGGCCTCGGGCCCCGGCGCGGGATGGGCCGCTCCCCGTCCTTGTCCCATCACCCGCAGCCCGTCGCCTTGGCCGTACAGCAGAAAAGTTTTAAAATGAAAGAAGTAGTGGACTAACGGGTACAAAACTATGCTATCTATCCTAAGAGAATTACTGTGCAGTATATACATGTATTGAAATAATACTGTACCCCACAAATATGTACAAATGTTAAAAAAACAAAAAAAAGGAAAATTGTATAAGTGCTAAATTCATCAATGTTGGATGATTTCAGGCATGTTAAGACATCCCATCTTCCAGGACCTGCTTCTGGTATTCATTCAAAAGAAACTATAATCAGTGTCACAAGGTAATAACAATGCTTGTATCAATAAAAGCCCAACCGCCCGTCGATCCCGACTCCCGGCCTCTCCCAAAACACCGGCCCCGCTCCACTGAGGACGCCGAACATGTCGTGGTCCCAACTACCCCCCGCTGTGGTCAGCCCAAGGATACGGTTGATGTAGTTTTCCAGCGCGGAAGTCATGCTGCTCGGCCCGGCGGTTCCGGCAAATAGAGCGGCGCCGGCTACAAGCAGCTCTAAACCTGCCCGCGCAAACAGCAGCGAGCGCCCACTGGAAACAAATATCGCGAGAGTTACAGCCGTAGCCATCGCTAGCCGGAAGTTCAAAGAAACGGACCAACCCACCAAAGGGTAGACAAGGTAGCGCGCGTGCGCAGTGTGTTTCCACGGTTCTTCTGGGCGGTGATCCGGAAGTTGCGAGAGACAAAAACGAGCAGGAGGAGGAAGAAAAAAAGCTTCTTGGAGGTGGGAGAAGAGGGAGAAGGTGGGGGAGTGGATTTCGTAACCGAGTGAAAGGCAGTGTGGTAGAAGTCGGCAAAGTGTTGAGACAAGGCAGGCAGGAAGATACGGAATAAGGTGTTTTCATTGCGAGGAAGCAGAAGTGAAATGCGTGCTGCTCACGTATGGAACGTAGGTGCGGGGAAGTTGAAATTCCTAGTTTTCTGCAGCACGAGCTGAAAACTAAACTAAAAGAAGCCAAATGGCTCAGAATAGAAAGTTGCGCGCGCTGTAATCATACGGTCTACGTTTCTGGAGAATGATCGTATATTCTGCATTTGTCTCTAAAAGTGCTCTGACATGGAGGCGTCTTTACTCACTTTAACAAACTAAATCGAAATAGGTAAAAGTGTGTAAGTGTCCCTTAGAAAACTGATGTCCAGACTTCTCCCACGACTCGAGGTGGGAGAGTCTTCCTCAGGGTGAAGTTAGAAAATAAGAGGCTGCTGCGCTGCTATGGAAGGACTAATTCAGGAAGAATCTTCTAGATAAGCACCAGACTGCGTTCTAGTCCTGGCTCTGCTAACGAGTTGGTCTTGTAGAACTCACTTCGGCTCTTCTGGATCTCATTTTTCTTAGATCCTGCCACAGTTATCATTTGGATATTTTCATGTGATAACTAGAAAGCGTCACTGTTCCCCCAGTATTTTCTTGTGGTTCCGTAACTTCAAAGGGATTGAAGTTAGAAAACGATCTATATACAGAACACATGGGGGAGCAATTTTCTTTTACAAAATGTGTGATTTCAGTTAATTCGTAGTTTCTTAACTGAAGAATTGAGGCTTGGGTATAACTTGCAATGCCAGCGATTTTCCTTCTGAATAGTGAGGCATCCCTTTTCATTAGAGCATATGCACAGTTACCTATTACCTACAAGATTACTCCCAAATGGATAATATGTTATACACTCAAACTTGTTCTGACCTGTTTGAAACCACATATAGTCAGGAATTCGGTGGTGAGTGTCCCATATTCTCTGGGGAACAAAAGTATCTTCCATTAATAAGAAAACGAAGATGTGTAATTTATAAATGTTACGCTTTGAACTAAACAAAATTTTAATGAGAAATGAGGTATCATTAGTGAGAAGTTTTTAAAAAAAATAACCTAGGTGTCACCTTTTTTACATGAGTAATCAATGTAGCTTTTCATCCCTTACAGCAAGCTGTGGTTTTAAAAATGTTTATTAACATTATGTATTAACTTTTGAAACTAATATTAATTATAAATACATTATAAGACTATGTCCTGTTTAGGTTCCATTAAATTAATATGCCAGATAAATAGCAGATGTTCAGTGTTTATAGAGCATCACAAAATCTCTTGTTTGAAAGTTTCTTATACATGTCTTCTCTGTTTTCTGTAGTCCCTAAGGCTCACAGATGAGGAGTGAAAGCCTATCAATAAAGATAATTTCATTTGTTGAGACAAAATATGAGTTACATTTGGATTCAAACATTACATATGATGTTTATCCAAATTAGCCTTGTGATCTTGGGAGTACATGAACTCAGAGAATTTAGTATCTCATAAAGGAGAATTAAGTTAAAGCTCCAAAGAGGTAAAGTGAGACTTTAAGCTTAATTCAAATCAAAATATCTCAAAGCACAGCTCATTTAAGTGATACTCTATCACTGATAAAGCATCAACCAAAGTATGCTTGAAAAACTCTGATTTTATTGTTCTGTCAAGGTCTACTTCTTGAGCAGAAGATAGTAACCTGAAGGATCAGACTCCTACTAGTATCTGAGGAAACTGAATTTGCGCTTCCTCGTGAATAGTTCATGGAAAACCATCACAATAGTGATTTGAAAATTAGAACTTTATTTTAGCCTAATATGGGAACTTTTACTTTTATTTTTGACTGATATATATTTCTACAACTTGCAAACGTGTCAACCAATCAGCAATATATATTGAATAGATCTATCTAGCATTCTCCTAGACAGACAGGGACATATGAGTATAAATCATGGTCTCTACTTATAAGGAATTTTTGAATAGTTAAGAGCTTTATCTATAAACATGAAATAAGTAGTGCATGGAGAAAAAAGAAATCCTAAATGATAAATAGAGGTAAATGATATGGAAATCATAGTTCATTTAAATACATTACAAAGTGCTTTTCATATACTATAGTTTTCCATTTAAGGTAATAAAGACAAGTATTTTTAACTTCATTTCTTAAGGGATGGAAAAAATTAAATATAACTGACTTGTTAATTGAGAAGCAGTGTAGGATCATGATTAAGAAAACTTGATTCAGTAACTCACTGGATTCGGATTTTGTGTGACTTTGAGCAAGTTACTTAACCTGTGCCTCAGTTTCCCCGTCTGTAAAATGGAGAAAGTGATAGTACTTACTTCATCAAATTGCTGGAGAATTAAACAAAATCTTGTAAAGCCTGGCATATGACAAGCACTCAAATGTTATTGTTATTCAAGGACATAGAGTACACCATAGGTAACCTTTTTCTTTCCCAAAGTTTATTACAATGCAATATTTTATTCACTGATTTTTTTTCAGATTGGGCAAATTGAATGGTACACATTTTAAGTGCTTAAGAAAGGGGAAGACAGGTATATGTTAGAATCTTAGAAGGTTTTACAAAAAAGGTAAAACTTAAATTGGGGCTTGAGGAAAAGTACAAATATGCTTTAGGGAAATTAACATGATGTTAATATTTAGTGGAGATAGGAAATGAAGATGAGAAAGCTGACAAGAGTCCAAGTCTGAGTTTCTGATTTGTAGCAGAATTGTAGCAGTAAGAATGAAAGGCAGGAAAAAAATATGATTTAAAGACAAAGGTTAAGAAAGGCAATGGACAGACAGCAAATCCTGGGCAGCATAATAATAGTGGTTGGTGAATTAGAAGGACAGGACAGGGAGAGTAGGGAGAACCAGGAAAAGGCAGGACTGCTTGTTAAAGTAGACAGGGCCAATCTGTGTAACTATGTTAACATAACTTGTGTTGTTCACTAGCCAGAAGTGAAGCCACAGAACATACTGATTATACTTACACTGGCATATGCTTTACCTGAAGGGTCTAGAGAACCAGTCTATCTCTGGAGGCCCACTGTTTTGGTTTATAAAGGATAATATATATTAATAAAATTTCTTACATTTTTATTTTGGAAACTGTTTTAGTCAGTTCAGGCTGCTATAATAAAATACTTTAGACTGGATAACTTATAAACAACAGAAATTTATTTCTTACATTTCTGGGGGCAGGGAAGTCCAAGATCGAGACACCAGCAGATTGGGTGTCTGGTGAGGGCCTGTTCATAGATTGTGTCTTCTTGCTGCATCCCTACAAAGTGGAAAGGGACAAGGCAGCTCCCTTCAACCTTTTTTATTAGGGCACTAACCCTCATGACTTAATCACTTTCCAAAAGACTCCACCTCTTAATACTATCAAATTGGGTGTTAGGTTCCAACATAGGAATTTTGAGAGACACCAACATTTAGACAACCAAACATGATAATGTAGGCATTCTTGCTACAATCTGTTATGCACAGTTGTTAAAATCTTCACATTAAAAAAAGAAAAAAAAGACTCACTTCAAATAACAGACCTTAAGGAAAAAATAGGTCTGGTAAAGATCACTCAAAACCTGAACACCTGAACAGCTGAGCAGTAGTTCCCGAACTTTGCTTCTCTTTGATATCACCAGGGGATCTTTAAAAACTACTGATGCCTGGCTCCAACACTCAGACATTCTGAATTAAATGGTATGGTGTGAGAGGCTGGGCATCAAGATTCTAAAGATGTCCCTGGGTGACTAGTATGCACTAAAGGTTGACAACCACAGAACTGTAGCATTAACAGAGACAATAACAATCCAAATGAAAATATTAGCTCATTAAAAACAAAAGCATGTAAAATTCCTAACAAAAATGCTATAGTAAAAGTTGAAGTTAGCTTAATGAATGACGGTTTATGGAAGGGTAGATACATGACTGTTGGAAACAAGGGCAGGAGATCATCACCATCAGAAATTTATTAATATCTTTGGAGAAAAATATTGAGGTTAGGCTATGAGGAATGGACAATGTAAGAAGCTACAGAAAGATAAATGGGGTAGTGAAAGTGAAGTATAAGCATTTTATTAACAGAAAGTTTGCAGAACCCTGTTCTCTAATGTTAACAAATGAGATTTCTAAAGTTTTTATATCTGTACTACCGAATTCATCATCCTGACCATCATATATTATTAACGCCCATCTTTGACCAGCTTTAAGATACGATTCTACTATTCTTCTGAAATTAACATCTTGCACCAAGTATAACTAAACAAACAAAAAAACAAAACAAAACCTCAGGTTAAACTTCAGAAGAATGTATATGTTGTTTCCCTCCCTCTCTCCCTTTCTTCCTATTGTCGAAATTTCAATCAAGAACATGCGGGGACATTTCTAAGTCATTACCCAATGTGGTAATACAGAATGGGGTTTTTCATGCACGTAGTATGATGTAAGATAATGATCTCCATTTTAACATATGCACCAGAAACTAAATTAAAAATCACAGAGGTATCTAACAATGCAGTGGTTTCAAACAAATTCTCAGAGAATTTTTGTTTTGTTTTTTAACAAAAAGAAGTAGTTCAAATTAAAGACAGCTATTTGTAAGAGACATTAATCATTGTTTTTTGGCTGCTCAATATCAGAACTCTCTTTATTTCTTGAAAATGTCAAACTTTATGAGTTTTGGTAGTGGATAGAGCTCAATGTAGCAGGAACTTTTTTTTCCTAGTGTTTCTTAAAGC